AAGAGGAATATTTATTTATATCATAATTTGTAAAGCTGCAGAAAGAAATCATTTTATTTAGTGAGTCGATCATTATTTTATTCTTTCAAAAGCCACTTTTCCCCCGTTTTGCCGTCCTTCTTTTCTCATTGTAGTATGTTTCTCTATTCATTTATTGTAGTTCTTTCTTTTTAAAAAAAAATTTTTCCCTGATAAAAACAACAGTAACACCAAAAAGAATAAAAAAAAAAATAAAACCACAATTCACTCTAAGATCTGATCCATACACAATTTAGTTGATAAATATACTGGTTGACCTATAGATACTTATACAGACATCTTTTAGTAAAAATTGCCTTTTAAAATATCATTTGATAGTTTTCCTTTTACATACAGTTTTATTGAAACTTGTCACAGACTGTATGGCTAATTTTCAAACCGAAAATGACAAAATCTGTCATTTAAATGTGCCTTACCCTTTCTCATTAGGAAACAACTATTTTACGAAAGTTAGAAATTTGTACATGAGTTCTGCTCCTACAAGTTGTTATAGATTGCACTTCTTAGTTTTATTCTGCTTGGAATCCTTCCTTTCGACAATGCTTCTTTTTAAGGGACGTGTTCATGAAATTCCTTGCTGCTTACATTTGGTATAAGGAGACATTTGGAACATAAATATTGCATTCCTTGTTCTGGTGTCTTTAACGAACCCGCACTGTTCTTGTCCTATCTCTGACCTGATTCTGCTGTGACCTCTATTCATCAGAATTCGGATGATGACTTTTGTTATGTGGCTCATTAGGCTTATTTCTCGGTGGAATTCACATTCGTTTGCGTCTGGTTTCTTAGATCTGTTTAAGTCTTTCGGTATATCAGAGACATTTAGAGATTCTTCAAGATTCACCTATCAACTTGTGTCATTTTCCCTGTCAGATGGAGACACGGGAAAATAGCCGTTTGTCCAAACAATAAAGGACTTCTAAAATATGGTTGACTTGACCAACTTAAGGAATTCAACTACATTAATGACAAATGTTACTGTAGCACATTTACTGTTTTCTGACTTTTTAAATCGTGCTATATTTGACGACGTCTGATGTTATTAGCGACCATTAATCTTCAGATCTGATTGCTAGTTTATTTCTCACTTCTATTCGAATGTTATTTGTTATCCAAGCAATTGTTGGTAACAATGGTAGAAAACTTGTCCATATATCATTCGACATAAAAACGTACAAACAAAATGAATGTTCAGATCAGCATGTGGCGTCTTTCGAAAAGTAACATTGGCCTAAACAAGCAAAAACAAACAATTACTCTTACTACTACTACTGCTACTACTAATTTTATATTTTTATATAATTACGAATGTATTTTTTGTTAGCATTGTTGCCATTATTATTATTTCCTTTTTTCTTTATATAATTGCAATTTTCTAGACAATTGTATTTAACAATCGTATTCATCGTATATTATTGACGAGACACACACACGCATATCATTCACTAGTAGAATCTAAGGAAAGTAGCGGCAGTGAGAATAGACAGCCAAGTATATTCTTTTCCACTCCTTGATAAAAATGAAGCCACATCAAATGTTACTGGCGATGGTGAAAAGAAAAACATTTATTTTCCTGCCTTTCAGAAAGAAATTCTGAAATAAATTTCGAGAGTTTGATTTCCTCTGAACAAAGTAACTTTTTTTTATTTTATACAGTATTTTACATATACGAGCTGCACTACTGTGTACCGTTCACTGAGAGAGAAAGAGAAAGGGGAACATCGGGAGAGAGAGAGAGAGAGAGAGAGAGAGAGAGAGAGTGAAATAGTATGTGCAATAAGAGAGAAAAGAAGTCAAAATATGAGGATTAATAGACTGATTAAAAGAAAAAAAGGGACCAAAGGTGCGGGATATCTGAATGTATAAAAGAAGAATTAATGTAACTTAAAAATGGCGTCAAAGGATGCATAAGAGAGAAAATAATTATGGGAAAGTAAGAAAATGAAGGAGTAAATAAATAAACTGCAAGAAGAAAAAGAAGAAGAAGAAAAAGAAGAAGAAGAAGAAGAAGAAGAAGAAGAAGAAGAAAGGTAGATATTTTGTGATGAGATAGAATATAGAAAGAAAATAGGGAAGTAGATACGTGAAGAAAGAAAAGAAAAATATAAAGAGCATTTCAAGGATAATTGGCACATTACAGCAGAAAATAGACACGATCATGGCACTTGTTCTTAAGCGAATCTCTTGGTGGTTAAGATGGTGCAATGTAACACAAAAAAGAAAAAAAGAATAAAGTCATATCTATAGGGAATCATACATATTAACAGACATATCTCCAACGAAATGTTTACTTGCACTCTTTCAGTGGATGTGTATATATATAGACATGTTTATTTGAAAGCATACATATAAAGAGGTATGACAAAAGTAGACATATTCATTTTATAACTAGAGTCTCATTTTCAAAGATTGTTTAATCAGTAATATATCATTATGTAAAATTAAAATTTGATAAACATGATATTATCATTTTGTATTCTTGCAGGTCCTTTTCGTGATTGTCAAATCAAGCAGTATTTAAAACGCGAAACCGACCTAATATATTTGGTTTTCAGAATATCTTCCTTATTTCCTGTTCAAAATTTCCCTAGATATGCTCAATAGGATTCAAGTCAGGAGACTGACCTTATTCTGAAAGACGTTTCATGCTTTTTTGCTCTAAGGTATGGATCGCTACCCTCCATGCAATTGTCATTTTTTCCGAATAATTACCAGTATTAGAAGTCGTTCGAAACGACTCTCTTCACTCGATAATGAACTGTAAGTGTTCGAAATAAATTTCTTGACTCCAGACTTATATTTGCTGTTTGTTCGAACATTAAGCAAATGAGGATTCATCTGAAACTATCCTAATGTTTCAAATATCTACGACTCACCCCACCATCACAATTGATCATTGTTGTATTCTGCAGAATTCTGGTTAAAGAAGAGGGTTTTCTTCTGGTTAATCTCTCCGTAGATGTAGAAACAATGCTGACGTCTTTGCATTGATTCTGTACGCATTCTGGCACAACTATCGCCTTCTAACAGGGACTTTCTTCAACTTCCCATCTCATCGCATGAAGACACAATTATCATTAGCCAAATAAAAAAGAGGCAAAAATGTCTTCCGGTTGTGCATTAGTGACGTGCACTATTACTTGGAATTCCCAAATGTGAAGCTACTTTTTGAATAATTAACATAGATTATCTTTCGAACTCTGATATTTATTGTATGCAATGCATTCCATTATTTATATTCCGCATTTTGTTTTTGTAAATTCAGTAATTGCCAATATCATTATTGAATGTAAAATCAGTGCCTATTTACTCACGTCAAATTTCTTTATGATTTTATACATGGATATATAAATATGAATATTGACGCTTGTTCCTATAATCGGAAGGTCATTGGTTTGCTATACTGGACTTTGTTCCTTGATGGTTTCTCAGAGAGAAGAATATCATGCAACAGATGATATAGTATCATTAGCAAATTGTAAGGAGGATTGGATGTTTAAGAAATTAATGCGAAGTGAATTTAACCAGTCTCAGTCGGAATTCGATCTTTGACCATCAACTTGCACTTCTCTAACAATATTCTTTATATCACTTTGCACATTTATTTAGTGATAAATAAATAAATAAATAAGTAAATAATAATAATAATAATAATAATAATAATAATAATAATAATACACTTTATTCACACCCGGGCATGTTACTTTAAAAACAAAACTTCATTAGTTATGTCAGCACCCCCGATACAGTCCAAAAATGACTTATGGTTTTGACAAAACTCAGTTCATCGTTGAAATCAAACGGAGGAAAGAAATTAAATAAAACATGATGAGACTGCTGATGGCGGTCGCAAAAGAGGACTGACTAGTGAAAAGTGGGAAGCGAAATGGAATAAAAATTTGGGGTTCTAATTTCACTGAAGAGGCTAAATCATCATTGCTTTAAGTAGTTAATATCTAACGGATAAATAATTTCTGGGTAGAGCTTGTATATATAGCGAGAGTCCAACATATTACAAACATGCAAAATAATATTAATGCAGGACATTTTAAGGTTACACCAAAATATTCGAGAGGACTCATTGCAAAGAAAGGTGCAAAAATATAGAATTCCTTATAATACAAACGAAACAACCAACGTTAATTAAAATATGTTTCTCCATAGAAGATCGTATAATGAATGTTTACTAAAATTACTAAAATTTACTAAAATTAGCGCGTATAACTTCAGTTTGACCGTTGTGTATGACATCGCCTTTAACTGACTTAAATTCTAGTTCCAACAATTGTAAATATACTTTTTTTCAACTTCCGATTTATTTGCAATGTTGATATACATTTTTGTGTCACTAGCTCTGAATAATTGTTTGCATATAGATCTGTTTATATTTTCTGTGTTAATTTATCAAGAAGTTAACACTTGTTTTGTGATGACAACTATCACAACAGAACAATTTATGTTGTTGATGTTTTAATTTTCAACTTTCTCCTAAAGAAAGAATATCGAATAGTTCCGTGTATATTGTTTTATTATAGAGCGAAACAATGATATATGAGAAACGAACGAACTGCCACATTTTCTTATTGATTAATCAACACGTAAACGCATTTGACAGAACTGGTTTCGAAACAACTTCGTTTGTTATTCAACTGTGCACTAATAATTGTTTATCAATTATCGATTACCAACAATTACATTTTTCGAATTTTCACGTACATGCATATACAGATACACACGTGTGCAGGAATAAACACACGCACACGTGTACATATGCGAGACGCAAGTACTTATAAACACACGCACATGTATTATATAAACGTATGAACCTGATTCTATGAGTACATATCTGAAAAAAGTCAAGTTTTGTTTTATAGGAGGTGGTGTTCTGTAGTGTATTTTACCTCATGTGCCTCACTGGTCGTTTACTTAACTCTTGCTTGAACTGATTACACAGTCCAGAGATGTTCTTTTCATACGCTTACCGAAGCCCTTCATCGGAAAACCAAATTGACTTGTTTCTCGCCCACCTATACCCGTCTCTTAACCTTCATCTGACATCCACTCACAAATGTTGCCTACAGAAGCTCAATTATAGAGGCGGTCTTTGTCTGATAGGACAGAAGGAGGGGTACAGTTTAAAGATGAGCAAAGGTTACACTTTTGATGGTTTTTGACATGCAAGATAGTAAAAAATTATTTTTCTTTCCTTCTTTATTTCTTTCTCAATATAACTGTCTTTGTTTTACTATATTCATCCTTTTCTTTAAATTCTCTTCAGAATATAAACGATTTACGAAGCGCAACGCAAGATTATCCATATCCAATGTTGTTTATGTCAGGATATAGATGTACGCGAGTACTAATTATAGGTATCATTACACACTCTGTATTACTATCATTTAATAACTGGGCAGATAGAGAGAATATAGAGAGAAATAGATAGAGAGTTAGAGGTTTGTTTCTTTCGTAAATTCATGAAAAATTGACACTTAAAATGTTCAATATATTCAATGCAAGAAAACAAATTAATTTTTAAAAATCCACAAAAGAATTTTTTCCAGTAATATTAAATCGATTTCTTTAAAATTTGCTAAAACTTGAGAACGTGTATGAATAAACTTGAAGAGCAAGTGATTTCGTTAATGCATAAAGATTTTTTTTTTTTTTCAATTAGGAAAACCGAATTCCAGTTATGAATTTTACTAACTTTATATCCAGTCAATGCGAACGATAGAATAATTTGGAGAATGAAGACGAGATTAGTTCTAAAAAGCAAAAAATAAAATCAGAATTAAAATACGAAAAAATAAACTGAAGTTTGACAACAGCAAAATCAAAGAATGAAAATAAGGAAAATATATTAATGACAAAAATTGGAAATATAAGTAAAATTTAGAAATAAGAAATAAAAACGATTAAGAAAAAAATAAATTTTTCTCGGTCTTTTTTATTTATTATTTACGTAAGGTTTATATAGAATTTAATTTGTCTATATACAAGAAAAGTCAATTAGAGAGAAAATAAGTGTCATTTTTTTTAACACTTTTTAGAAAGATTTGTTTTTAACCTGATATTCAGTTTGGAAAAATAAAAACAAAAACAAAAATAAATAAAAGAAAGTAAAAGAAAATTAAATCGCTTGACATACGAGGGTGCGTCAATAAGTCCGCAGCCTCACTCGCAATTATTAAATGAATTTCAGAGGAAATTCTCAGAATCTAATGTTTTTAATAAAATTGGTGTTGAAAAGAATAGCGTCTAGTCAAAAAAATTAAAAAAAGATTTCTATGACGACATAATTTCAAATTATGTCGGATCTATCAAATGGATTTTTGAGAGATAATTGGAACTTAATGTAAGTTTATTTTCGAAAAGAGGTTGCTGATACAATGTATTACAATTCACATCCTGTTGTACTTAGAAAGTATCTATATTTATACACACAGATATATAAATACACGCGCTAAACTATATATGTATGTATGTGTTTATATATGTATGTGTGTGTGTATGTGTGTGTGTGTGTGTTGTTTACATTTTTTCTATATTTTTAGGGGAAGAGTAGTTAATATTGGAGACAGACTGTTTATAGCTATAGTGGACATATTAATCAATACAACAGTTTTATGTTCCAATGCAATCTTCTGCTTAAGCTCTGTAATTTGTCATATATTTATGCGTAGACACAATTCATATGCAATATACCTACACACACACAGACACACACACACACATATATATATATATATATATATATATATATGTTCATTTTTACATTAATACTACTTTATATCGTTATATAAAATGTATGCTTTTCCGCGTGTGTCAGTGCGTGCGCGTGTTTGTGTGTATGATGCGTTAATTAATCAAATTTAGATAGATGGAAATTTATTGTATTGATGAACCTACCATACTGAAAAACATAAACAAAAGTAGACGAGATTGCAAGTTTTATTATTAATAAAAATCTATCTATCAAATCTCGGTCTGTTCATATCTATCTATCTATCTATCTATCTATCTATCTATCTATCTATCTATCTATCTATCTATATATATATATATATATATATGTGTGTATATATATATATATATATATATGTCTATCGATGACTTCGATATCATTTTACAAAGCCATGTATTAATATGACAGACTGCCAGACCGACCAACCGACCGACTGAACAACTATGAGACACACGTTACTGTGCATTCGCACTCAACTCAAATGTGTTACAGTGCATCGTACTTGCAGCATAAATCCTGACTGCCACTCTTCGATGAAGAAAATATCTTTTTTCTTTCGGCCTTTCGCTCATACCAGTCAGTAAGACAAATAAAGACGCCAAAAATGACGCAAGAACAACAATAATAGCGACAACGACTGAACAAGGTCGTGGCACCACCTTCTGCTCATTCAACCACTTTATTCTTTCTACTCTAACTATCACCTTGTATAAACGTCATTCAGTTACGTCACGCCCAATCCACGCCCAACGTAACTGAAAGGATAGAAGGAAATTAAAAATAAATGCATAACGATGAACGACTGAGCTTTTCGCGCGCGTTTGGCTACGGTTAACCACGCCTACTTTCCCGTCTGTGCTAAACAGCAGGTTGACGATTTCTTCAGTTAAACTGGGCTGAAGGCAGATATAACAATCAATGACGCGCGCATATATCTATACATACACACATAGACACATAGATAAATACATATACGTATGTATGTCGCGTATTTCAATAGAGTTCTGCTAGTACTCTTAGGTGTTGTAATCAAACGACTTCATCGAAGTTCTAAAGAAATATTTTTACCATTATCGTTTAATGAACGGGAGTAATATTGGATTTACATTTAGTCTGAAATGCTGTACGTGTAAAAAATGCTAGAGGAATGTTTGTAAAAATATCTGTTGATGTAAAATCTTCTATTTAAGCAATAAAGTATACACATTTGTGACAGTCAATCTGAACAACACATATAAGCATATTAATATATATTCATATATATTTGCATATAGACAAATACATATTTGTGTCTATAGATTTAGTCAGTCAACTGGCGGCGCAATATTAAGATATGCGTTTATGGTTATATATATATATATATATATATATATATATATATATGTGTGTGTGTGTGTGTGTGTGTGTGTGTGTGTGTCTCTCTCTGTGTGTGTATGTACTTATGATAAAATATAAATTTAAGTTATGCTATATTTATAGGTTAAAGTGGTCAATATCAGGGATAGAGCGTATATGAATATGTGCAAATATATATATATATATATATATATATTTGTGTGTGTGTGTGTGTGTGTGTGTGTGTGTGTGTGTGTGTGTGTGTGTGTGTGTGTGTGTGTGTGTGTGTGTGTGTGTGCACATACAAACACGCCTGTGTGTGTGTTGATGTGTAACTTTACAAAGACACATTTAGCCAAGAAGACTGACAGGATCTTATTTAAAATACACATTTTATATTTGGTATAAATTTACTGGCCTATTAGATTTATAGGAGAAAATAATCAGAAATAGATTTTTTAAATTACAAACATAAAGAAGTGTCCTATGTATTAAAATCGAACAGTACTTTTAACAGCAAGCGTTACATTTGTTGTAAATGTTTTAAAATAGAAAAATAACAAGGTTAAGAAGATTAAGGATTTATATCATGGCATTGGGTAAATTCAGTCAAATTTTGACACCGGTTTCCATACGAAATCTGCGATTTTAAAAATCTAGACAGAAAGAAAGAAAGAATTTCAGCTTCAGTTCATTTCCTGAGTCGATACAAGCCAACATACTAAACAATAAAAAAGCATTTGACTTAATGGAGCAATAATAAAAATATGTTTATGGTTTTAGTGTCAAATTTGTCATATCAATAATCTCAACGAATAAAAGTAGGCCAGCAGGTTTAAAAATTCCAATCCTTCGACACCTTAAGTCATATTCATAATTTTGGGGGCTTTACGAAACGAATTTATAAAATGCATAATGATAGAATTAAAATATAACCAGACACACAGATACAAACACACACACACACATATATATATATACACATAGATACATATGTGGATATATATATATATATATATATATATATATATATATATATATATATATATATATATATATATATATATATCTAAGTTATATTGTAATTCTATCATTATGTATTTTATAAATTCTTTTCATGAATACCAAAATATACAGGCAAGTATATATACACTTATATCTGCAGCTCTTCTCTCTAAGCCAGATAATATTTCAGATCATCATAACTAGAGAAAGTACAATCCTCACTAGGTGTCTCACATTTGCGGGTTTGTTTAAGACTAAACTGAATATATATATTTATGTGTGTGTGCGACAGAGTGTCTGTGTGTGTGTGTGTGTTAGCAATTATGAGTGTCTATGCTTTGTTTTATTTTTGTTCTGCTTTCTTTTTACTTACAATACAATGTGCACAGAACAAAAAAGTCGGAGAAAAATGGACTTTATGTATTTGTTCCTGTCAATAAGTCTATCACGTTTTTCACATAAATTTATTTCAATGTGCGCCTAAAAAGGTGCATCATAAAGATTTACGGCACACATGTGTGCAGTAATATTTAACAATCTTCCTTTAAATATATACAAACAAATATATCTATATTGCATATCTATATTTTGTTTATATTTTTTCAGTTCGTCGTAAGATAATATTTCGCCATACATTTAGAATCGAGCGTATATATATATATATATATATATATATAAGTGCTGAAAATGTCTTGGTCCAAAGAAATAAAAAAAATCACATATTTGGCTAGGTTTGGGTAGCGACTTATCAGCACCGCATTTAAACGAGTGTATATTGTGTAAATTTATTTGCCATATGTACGTATATATAATATATGTATATGTATAGAACATGTATATTTATTTATTTATTAATTCTACATACATCCGTGTGCATGTTGGTGTTAACGTATAAATAAGAATGAATTGCGAGACTCGGCGTATATTTTCCACATGCATTTAAGCCTATTAAGATTTAAAATAGTCAAATCATTTAGTCTATCTGAATATGTATGTAAAAACAATTCTAATGTGATGTTTCTTCCAAAAATTGGTGCCATCAGTAAAATAATATACATGCATATATACATACATACACACACACATACATATACACATTACATTCTTTATCTCTCAATATTTCACAATCTCTCTGTTTGCTAAATACACACACAAACACGCGTAGATATATACGTACACACACACACACACACACATATATATACATATATATATATATATATATAGATAGATAGATAGATAGATATTGTTTCAAAATTCAGGAAGGAAAACGATTCATCTCTTTAATTAATGCATACATCGCTTATTACTGGCTTTTGGCATAACATAACTATTCATAAATAATAATTTATTAATATAACACACACACACACACACACACACATATATATATATATATATATATATATATATATATATATATATATATATATATATATATATATATATATATATATAATTTTTGTATGCATCTAATTCCATTTGAGGCTCACTTTTATTCACGTGCGAGTTTTCATTATATTAAGCACGCGCCAATTTTATCACCAAACTCAATTATGCTTATAATTATGAAATTACAAATGAAAATTTATGTTTCAACATATTTATTTACTCATCATAAATTTGTTCTTCCGATCACCTTTTCCTTATAAACCCGAATCTATTTTTCTCCATCTCACCAGTTTTTATGTTTCATTAAATTGTTTTTGTTTTGTTTTTTCGTTTTGTCTGGTCATATTTGTTTCAATATCTGTAGTTTATCATACCTTTTCGCTTGTCGCTTTAGTCTGCCTCTTTTCATATTCCATTTTTCTTTTCTTGTTATCGCTTTCTAATTCATTTTTATTTTTACTCTGTTCCATTTCAAACTTTTCTCATTTTCGTCTCCTTTTTTTCCCTCTTCCCTTTTTTTCTTTTTCCTCACCTTTTTTTTCTGTTTCTTACTATTTCAATATGTTTCTTCTTTGCCACTGCGTCAATCTTTTTTTTACGTTCTTATATTCAGATTCAATGCCATGTGTAACTCGTAATTTGATCAAAAAGCAATAAACGGGCGATTCCCAAAAGTAAATTATTATCATTAGAGAAGATGAAAAGTAGGAAGAAAATGATGAAGACGGGATAAAGAGAATAAAAATTAAAATGGAATGAAAGAGGGAGAGAGGCTGAGAATGTGGGTGATGCCAAGTACAAATTAAGGAGAAATAAAACAAATTATATCAAACAAGAAGCAGTACATGATATAAATTGCAATAATTATGATGTTAGTATTTGTAATTATGGTAATAACCACACTAATAATAATAATAATAATAATAATAATAATAATAATAGAAGAAGAAGAAGAAGAAGAAGAAGAAGAAGAAGAAGAAGAAGAAGAAGAAGAAGAAGAAGAAGAAGTGGAAATCCGAGACATAACTGAAATCATGTAGACGACAGCATTATTAAAATTTGTGAAACTAATATGGATAGCGCGGGATTAGTGAGGAGACTTATGTCACATGATCTCGAGTGAAAAGGACAGTGCTTTAAATTATGATTTCATTAAAGGAAATTACAATATTTAATGATGATGATTTTATGGTGGTGGTGAAAAATAACGACTGCCACAGCGACAAAATGGCAGGAAGAACAAGAATAGAGGAGAGAAATAATAACAATAAAAACAAGAGAACTGATCATGCCCATGATGGCACAGTATGATGGGTGTGATGAAAGAAGATGCAAATAGACATAAGGCAATTTGGGTAATGAACAAATATTGTTTTTCTTTTGAAAACAGTACATTGAGTGACATAGTTATTCTCGAAAACTGTTGATAGTGAGTTCATTAATCTTTGTGGCAAATTTGTTTGTCCTGCATGTAATAGTGTGGACTGTAGAATATCAGCACGCACACATACACCCACTAACACACACACACACACACACACACATATATATATATATATATATATATATATATATATATAGAACAGGAATCTTTTGAAGAAATATCGTATTGTATTTTAATGTATCTTGAATTTTCATAGATTTTCAACAGAAATTTATGAGAATATTCTTTATCTTTCTTATTGATTTTTTTATCTTAGAAGAGGATTTTTGAAAATTATTTGTATGTTTCAAAGCTTCAGGATGTATTTGTATGATATGCAGCTTTTAAATTGAAGGAAAAAAATGAACAGCCTCCCCCCAGATTTCAATTGAATGAAAACAGTAGATTTATTTAAGAGAGCGTTCACATATTGATATTGTCTATAAATCTCTCTTGGGTATCGATATTTCTGAGAAATGTTAATTATGCAGCCATAATGAGAAGAGAAATAAAAGCGAAGTACGATTAAAGGAAGTATAATTATGAAACGACTAATTATAACAATTAAAAAAATCTATATGGATATTTGAGGCAGTTGAATAACAACAGCAATAATAATAATAATGAATGTAATAGAGTTTCACAAAAATAAGAAGAAATTAGCAATATTGTTAGTATTATTACTGAGAACTTTAAAATAATGATGAAAATTTATTTTCTTTGTAAGGTTTATCAAATTAGTAACAAGATAACTAAGAAATAATGATAAAAATTCAGTAAACTAGAATTAAAAATAATACTGACAAATTTAATCAGGTTATAATAATGTTGAAAAGACAAATTTGATATCATTGTTAATTAAAATATAGTCATATAATGCACATAGGAGTGCGCTTATATAATTTCATTAAATTATAATATTTGGGGAAAATTGAAGTCAGGCATAGAGAAGTGCGCACTTTTGTTTGCAACAAAACAGATATGGACAATTATGGATTGTGGGAAAATGGAAATACTTTGAGATGAGATTTGATCTCGCGCCTATTTTACGGGTGTTAGATAGATAGATAGATAGATAGATAGATTCAAACATGCATACATAAATACGTGGATATATACATAAAAAAAGTTTTCTCAGAGAAATCACTCCAATTGTATCTTGACACCTGTTTAGAACGCCAAATATTTCAGGCATGCACCATGCAAATTGCAGGCAGGTGAAAACTTCATTCAAGTAAGACATGATAGACAGAGTGTGCTAAAAAATAGGAATAGATATTCTGCCTAACCATGTTGTAATTAATATATCTAGTCCAAAAAAGAACCACATCAGCTGTATAGCATGTGGTTTAATTATATTATATTATTGTGGTATTTGTTTGTCTTGAGGTCTAGTGATCTCTTTACACAGCCATACCCACAGAGACACACGCACATGTTTGTATGTATGTATGTACACACACACACACACACACATACACACCCACACACACACACACACATATATATATATATATATATATATATATATAGAGAGAGAGAGAGATAGAGAGACAGACAGACAGACAGACAGAAAGAGAAAGTTATTTGGATAGGATTTTCCCCAGGAATACAAACTGATTGAAACGAAAACCTAAGAATATTCTATCTATCTATCTATCTATCTATCTATCTATCTATCTATCTATCTATGCCAGTCTCTTCATGTTTTGGCCTGTTCATAATTTACTGAAAAAATACAATCATAGTATTGAAACATAAAAGCTTTTGTGTGGCAATTTCAAAATGTTTTTATTATAATCTCTTATAATAAAAATATAATATAATATATATATATATATATATATATATATATATATATATATATATATATATGGGGGTGCAGACAGAGAGAGAAAGGGAGTGAGAGTAAAAGTGAAAACAAGTCTATAATATAAAATGAAACTCAATCAAAAATATCAGTAGATATTTTTTTAATAGAACCTCCCTTGAACGTCTGCCTGCCTGAATGATGTGGTTCTCATTCCTGTTGGGTGCAACCGTCCTTGACGGTTGCATTCAACAAGGTATTGGGATTGTTACGTCTTTGGTCTCCTTCTCAATGTCGCCTAAGAATTAATAATCCAGGGAATTCAAATAAGTGGCTACATACTGGGATTGAAATAACTTTCTCGGGCAACCACTTCTGTGCCACGTGGGCCATAAGGAAGGGAACATAATCTTGCGGTACAGTCATATCCTCCATCCAGCGCTTGACCAGCACATTGATATAGGCGATGGTATTTACCAAGTTGCTCTACAGGATAAATGAGGGTAGCCTTCGTTGCTCATGATCTCCATGACCATCGCAGACGATATGTTGACCGCGCAGAACCACCTTTGATTCCTCCTTTTTCAACTGAGCATCTCCGAGTCGCTGTGCGTGGCGGCTCGTGTCACGAACACCTTGTATCTTTTCATTTCCCGTATCAAATCCAAAGCTGCCACATTAGTGCATGTGATTATGTCGTCTTTCCTTTATAGTCAGTAAATGATGAACCTAGCACACTCACTATAATATCTATCTATCTATCTATCTATCTATCTATCTATCTATCTATCTATCTATCTGTGTGCATGAGTGTTGGTGCGCATGCAAATGTGTAACTGCACAGTATATATAAATATATATGTTTGTGTGTGCGTCAGTGTGCATGCGTATGTGGGGAAGAAATATAAGGACATATTGCAAAAAGTTTACCTTGGCACGTTTCACTGATGATTTGGTGTCATTAAAAAAAGTTTACCTTTAAATGCATCGTTATAGAAATTAGATTTGAACTAATTTTTATTATCTTTTAACGCTTTAAATAGATTGTTTCACTAGTAATTTAGTCGGAAAAGGGAATATGTTGAAACAGGCATGTTGTATACTATTGGCATTATTAAGTAAATTTCTGAACGAAATATATTCATACTATTTTATTCTGATTTTTGTATGTACGCGTATAAGTAACAAATCAAAATAAAATAATTTGTAAGATACACCAACATAAATAGATAGTTAGAGATAGATAAAGAGAGAGGGGGAAAGAGAAGGAGGTCCTAAAAGAGAGAAAAAATATAGGATGAGACAGGAAACAGATAGAGAGAGAGAGAGAGAGAGAGAGAGAGAGAGAGAGAGAGAGAGAGAGAGAGAAAGAGGAAGAAGGTAGGTGGCCGAGGTAAAGATGATTTAAAAGTGATAACTGATTTATTCCGGTGTAACCGTGCATGTATATTTGGTTAAATATTGCTAACAAATCTATGAAAAATATGAACGAGGCGAGGAATTTTCTAGTTTGATTTTACTTTTTCTTTCTGTATTAAATATTCTTTTATTCACCTACTAAATATAAAAAAAATGCATGGCCTAAGTAAAAAAATGGCCTAAGTAAAAAAAATGTCGCTATAATTCCAAGTTCGGTGATTTTTATCGAATAGATTTTCAAATTCATTCATGAGGAAAAATTCTATTTCATTCGAAAAATTATACTTTAACTTACATTATTTTAAATGTACAGACACGAATATTTTTATTTAACAAGTTGTTGTTATTCATGTGCTCCAGTTTTCAATTATTTTAATTTTCCACATACATAAACATTTATTACGTTAATAGAATAAGGATAACAACGAATATACGCATACACATATACACATACATGCATACATACAGACAGAAAGACTTTCGTTAATCCCGAATTACCTCTTCACTAGTGAGAATAGGAATATATTTGACATCTATCGAACATTTACGATATTCTTCACTTATGGTAAACGTCGATGGAGAGAATAAAATAGCTTATAATTAATAATAGTAAGTAATTTTCATATCCCGGTCTTAAAGTAATGATTGACATCTATATCAATTTTATTCTTACTGGTTGACACAAATTTCACACTCTACCAAAATATATATAATATGAAAATATCATATATATATATATATATATATATATATATATATATATATATATATATATATATATATATATAGTGTGTTTTGTTTTATGCTTATATTTTACACAGGGTTCCAAATTTCTTTGCGTTAAACTTATGATTATAACCAAAATTTATTTTAGTTATAATCTTTAAATGTTCTAAATATATTTCGTATATTTGAGAAGCACGCCCATGTTTAGTATGCATTCACATTTATAAAGAAATGAAATTTGCAAAATTCCTGTTCCTATCTCAAGACACAAAAGCAGTTGCCTCTATTTAAATATATTTATTTTGTATTAATGCAATATATTTTTGCCTATAAATTTTGTTTATGAATAAAGAGTAAATTTAATAAATTAAAAACATGAACATTGTACAAAGACGAGTAAATGTTTATACATGGTTCATTAACATCTTGTAGTTTATTATCATCAAAGAAAGATTTCAAGGAGTTGGTTTTAAATGGAAGTTTATTATTGCTTCAAAACATTTGCTGAAATATCTTAAGGGCAAATGAAAGAAATGTCATTTTGGTAAGAAATCGTAATGTACAGTATTTATTCTATTTGGAACTATATGTGTTACTGTATTTTTTAAAAAATTCTCTACAGATGAAAATGATTGAATAAACGAAATTAAACAAGACATGATTTCCTTTTAGAACGTTTCTTTTCTTTAGTTCGTTTGTCATTCATTCATTCAAATCCGAAAGAAAAAAAAATGAACACAAAATGGGATTGATTTACAAAAAGCCGAAAGTGCGCAAATAAAAGAAATGATAAAAATGAAAAAAATGAATCCAACTTTTGTATTTTTCGTTTTAAGTTTGTTTTATGGTTTATTTTGCATTCAAATTCACAAATTTCATCTTTTTTTGTTTTTTGTGACCAAAACACAATATGTCTTGCCAGATTATGGAATCTAATATAAGAAAAATCATGCACATCTATATAAGGACCCGTGAAAATTCATAGCTACATATATAAATATATTGCTCAAAATTTTCTATATTCATGGGAAGAAGAGTGCTCTGTCTAGAAGCATTTATGGGTGTAGACATAGGAATCAACACTGAATCTATACATATATATATATATATATATATATATATATATATATATATATATATATATATATATATATATTATGTTATGTAGTAAAGACAATGTTAAATGAATAAATTTATATATATATATATATATATATATATCATGTCCCGTCAGAACGTAATCGAACATTGTGGTCTACGATTGTTTTTTTCTTTTTAAATCATCAAAGCTATTGGAAAGGTTTCACACTTCCGTGTCTTCTTTAGACTAAGTATCATTACTACTTTAGAGGGTTGCATACACAGCAGGCTGTGTATATATTACAGCAGAGAATAAAAAAAATAGTGGGAAGAGAAAAATGACCTGCTAAAAGGGTAAGGGCACTTGGTATGAAGATCACATTGAAGAGTCAATCATGATGGAGTGTTGATTCATATGTCCACTCAGACTCTCTGTGTACATATATAATATACGTACTCCGGCAGGATTCTGCCTAAGAACGCTTATTTTCTTATAAGATTTCTCGTAAATTTAGCCGTTAGATAGAAATAAATATATATCGTGTTTAATAAATAAAAAAGAGCATATACTCAAAAATGGGTATGCATTAAAAATAACGTTTAAACAATATATATATATATATATATATATATATATATATATATATATATATATCAAAAACAAAGTAAACGTTCTGTTTATAATAAACAGTATTAACAACATTTACCGGCCTGGATGTCTGAGAAATCCCAAAATAAATATGTGTCCTCCGACAGGAAACGAATCTGTATACTACACGGAACCGCCATAGCCTGATGTCCTATACCATTTAGCTACAGAGGAAGCGTATTGTTAGCAAGGTTAAATTACAGTTTTTAAACTACAAACTTCCCATGATTTCTCTCGAACGCTCATATCTGCTCGAAGCGTATCTTAAGGTAAACAAGTGACATAATATATTATGAAATGGACCAAGTCTGACAATTATTTTAATATAATTTTTGTTTATACGTTATTTTTATAGATGCAAATATATATGTAAATGCACTGTCTATAATAAACAATATTAACAACATTTACCAGCCTGAATGTCCGAGAAATCCCAAAGAAAATATGTATCCTATGAGAAGAATTGAACCTGTATCATACACGGAATAGATCTTTTCTTTGGGATACACTGAAGATTGGATGAAATTTCTAAAAACTCGGAGTAAAGGCAGTCATAAATGAATGATAATTGATTGAATTATATGCGTGTGTCGGGAAGGGTTGTAAAAACGCGGACGTTGGCTACAATTATATAACAGCCTTGCAAAATGCTAATTTACGCCCTGAATTTTTTCAAAATATCTCCTTTCCTAGATGAAATGCTTCTTTCCCTATTCCACATACATGATCATAAAAAATGTTAACTCGAGAACTTTACAATATTTAAAATAAATTTATACATAAATGATTTATCATATTAAATAATAAATAATAATTATATAAAATAATAAATATATAAATAGCTAAAATTCAACAAATTTTATTTACTTTCATTTATTTCATTTCAAAAAATTACATTACTAGGCATCTTTTGTCCTTCCTTCCACGGCTAATTAAAAAAATATTATAGTGCGTTCTTAAATTCAAAATTTGAAGACGATATTTTCCATCACTTTTGTTCTGTGTATAAATTCCAGTTACAAAATAAAATCTCTACAATTATTTTGATGACGTCTTGGTAAAGAAAAGTTTTCAGTTAGTCTTTATACACATTCACACACACAAACACACACACACAAAGCACATACACTCACACAAACACGCACCCATATATATATATATATATATATATATATATATATATATATATATATATATATATATATATATATATATATATATATATATATATATATATATATACTAAAAAAAAAATTACATTTACCTACAGGATGTACTCGATCATTGCCCTCCGCAACTTCATTTCCTTCCAGTTCTGTCAATTGCTATGATTGCTTTTAGAAAACGGAGTGATTTTCTGTTGTATTACCAACATGTTCATATGTAATTAAATAAAAATATTGGATAAATGATATATGAGCGTCTATATGCATAGAATACTTAGTGTAAAATTGGGGATGAAATTGAAAAGGCACAATAATTTTTTTAATCTTCAATATAATTGTATACTCATAATTTTTAAAACTATTATTTCATCTTAGTCCATTTGGATTACAGTTAATATTTGAATCCTTTGTGTTTTATTTAATGGTAACTGGACATCTTTTCAAACATTTCCAAGAGAATTTTCTGTGTTAGAAGTCCTATATGCATCATGAGTTTTGTATCTCATGCTAAATTTGTCCCCCCAAATATATTAAAATGCAAAATTATGTTGAAGATTTCCAAGCAGACTCTCCTGTTATTTGAGGACGACGTTAAGTACAAACTGCAGGCAAAAAAAGGTACGACATTTTACAGACAATCAAAAGAATGGATGGATTAATCAACAGGTAATTAGATTTTTTAAATAACGTAATTCATTTCTATATACTCATACACTGGCTGTAGGTGATAAAATTTCCTCTGTCCGAAATAAGGATTTATGTTTGTTGGATGCCATCGTCTATCTTTATACAATTT